ACCAAATCCGAGTTAGAATCACTTACACAAATGTTTTTCCTTGAAAATCTGCCAAAAGTCACTTCTGCTCAAGCTCAACTTCATCAAAAATGGCAAATGGGACGAAGTTCCCTCCTTTATAATCTGCCGAGGCAGCCTTCAAAACTGGGCCTCGATCATGGCTTCGATCATGGCCCTCGAGCCTGGGCCTCGATTGTGGCCACGATCATGGCCCTCGAGCCTAGGTCTCGAATGTGGCCTCGATCATGGCCCTCGAGCCTGGGCCTCGGTCATGGCATCGAGCCTCAATCTTGTGACCCTCGATCTTGGTTCTCGATCTTGGCCCTCGAGCCTTGCATTCGATCATGGCCCTCGAGCTGGGCCTTCGATCACGGCTTCGATCCTGAGACTCATCCCTGGCTTCGACCCTGTGCTCGATCTTGGGCTTGATCATAGCCCAAAATATCCAGCAGAAGAGAAAAATTGCAACAGTTTTTAAAGTCCAACTTTTGATCCGTTAACCATCCGAAACTCACCCGAGACCCTTGGGACCTCAACCAAATATACCAACAAGTCCTAAAATATCATACGAACTTATTTGAAACCTCAAATCACATAAAACAATGCTAAAACAACGAATTATGCTCCAATTCAAGCTTAATGAAACTTAAAATTTCCAACTTCTACATTCGATGTCGAAACCTATCAAATCAAGTCCGATTGATCTCAAATTTTGCACACAAGTCATAAATGACATAACGGAGCTATGAAAATTTTTAGAACTGGATTCCGACTCCGATATCAAAAAGTCAATTCCCCGGTCAAACTTCCAAACTTAAATTCATGTTTTAGCCATTTCGAGCCTAATTTAACTACTGACTTCCAAATAAAATTCTGAACTCGTTCCTAAGTCCAAAATCACCATACGGAGCTGTTGGAATCGTCAAACTTCTATTCCGGGGTCGTTTTCTCAAAATGTTGACCGAAGTCAAACTTGGCCTTTTAAAGCTAACTTAAGGAACCAAGTGTTCCGATTTCAACCCAAACACTTCCAAATCCCGAACCACCCATCCCCGCAAGTCATAAATCATTAAAAGCACATACAACAAGTTTTATTTTGGGTAACAGGGTTTTAAAAGTCAAAATGACCGGTTGGGTCATTACAATGGCAGTGACATGCAATCCACGTGCAGACTCCAATAACCCGTTGAAAGACTCTGACACATTTGTAGTCAGAATTCCCCATCTTCTTCCACCATCCGCATGAAAAGTCAACTTGTCAAGTTCATGTCGTATCAACCAAGTATAGGCTCCTTGGTCTTCCTGCCTGATCAATTCCATTCGCCTCCTGAATTTACACTCTTGGTGATCTGTTGCAGCTATCCACATTAAATCATGCATGTCCTTTTTCGGATAAGCCCTCTAGAAGTTGGCCTTCAGGTGCCTCACACAGTAACGGTGGTAGGCATACGGTTCCTATCATGCATGCAAATTCTGTATAGAACTTAAAATATCACCATGACGATAAGATATTAGACAAATACCTGAACACTGTCTGATAACGTTCTCCTTCAAGTGGTTCAAAAATAATGTCCACGTCTCTTGGATTTCATTTGCACAAATAGCAAATGCTAAGAGAAATATACTTCCATTAGCATCTACTGCAACTACGATCAACATCTTAATATCATACTTTCCATAGACATGAGTGTCATCTATGGATATTACCGGCTGACAATGCACAAAATCATCAATGGCTGGTTTAAAATTTTAAATGCCCAGATATGTGTTTTGCTATTCCCAGACTTCACTCAAGCTTCCATTTAACAGTAGTACCAGGGTTAAAGTATTGCAATGCGGACATGTACATGGGTAGAGATGCAAATGACTTATCCCAGTTACCATAAACAATTTCAAACGCACGTTTGGGCCTGAGAAATGCCTTTCTTTTGGTAATAGTACACCCATATACCTGGTGGACAGATGTTATACACTCTTTGATCTTGTACCTTATGGACGCTTCAATGTGTGAAATCAAGACACGAGAAATCAAGTCAACATTCAAGTTAAAATGATTCCCACTGAATGTGTCCATTTCACAATTATGGGTGCCAATGTATTTACACACAACCCACATATTTATTTTCAGCTTCCTCGCACGCAGCATCCAATTACAACCCGTAAACCATCTACTACAAATAACCTTGTATACATCCGAAGATGACTCATGAACCACGATCTCACGACACTCTTTTATGCTGTACATTCGCACCGCCCTGCTTAAGCGCTCTTTATCTGCAAAAAGCATGCCCTTTGACAGCATCGTTGCTCTAGATTCATCCCACATTGCTGTTCGAATTTCGTCAAGATCCCTTGTGAGGGAATCCACATCCGGCATAGTTGTAAAATGATCAAGGTAGGGAATCTCCCTTGAATGAAATGGTACGTGGGACTCGTACACTCTTGGTCTAACGGGGGGTGGAGCATGCTCCCTCGTCAAATCAGGTTCAGCATTCTCTTCCTCCTCATCATCACCCTCATCAGGGAAGGGTGTGTCACCTCTAGACTCATCAACATTGTTGTTATAATCACTATTCTCTTCCTGACTCTGCGCATCTGCCAGATCCCGATTAAATATGTCGTCTTCGGGCAATTGAGTAAGGACAGGACCTTCAAGTTGCTCGTTTTCACTGCACAACCAATAAAATAATGAGTTTCTCAAATTAATCCAAACTTTACATATAACTTTATCACTTCACTTACAACTCAAAATGTGTTGATATCCCATGATGGACATTATCTTGTTGATGATGACTCCCGGATGGACCACCATGATCCAACACACCAAAATTAGGCATATTCCAACTGGGCGTTGGTTCATAACTTGTAAAATTCATATCTGGCCGGTACCCCCTGTGAAATATATAAGTGTTAGTACAAATTTAATACATAAAAATAAATGTCGTAACACAAATGAAAATTAAAGTTTACCACTCGACTTGTGGATTATGTAAACTAGGGGAGAAATTATTTTCTCGTTCCTCATTCGCCCATGGAGATAAGATTAGATCAGGCCAAACTCTTTCACCCGGAACCTGTTCGGCTAAAACTGCTCCAAAATAACTACCCGATGATCGAGGGATATCCCTACTTTGCGGAACCTCATTATTGCGAACGTCTTCAACCTTGACGTACATTTTCAACATTTTTATCACAAGATATTCCCGATGTTCATCCAGAGTCCTCAAAATATTTCTTAGAGTTTCATCGTCTTCGATGTTAAACTCAGCATAACAAGCAACCCCTTGCGGAGTAACAGAATACAAATATCTTCCGGTTACATTAATATTAACCGAACGTTTGCTCACACTCATTTTTTTTACATAACAACGATGCCAATGTATCGTACTCCATTGTAAGTACAAACTTAACATGACACTGTGGAGAATAACTATAGTGTACTGAGTTATTCTCCACCACAACCTCACTCCCCAATATAATGAAACCCTAATTCTCCGCTCTTCAGACATTATGACAAAATGCAAAATAACTTAACGAACAAATATTTAACGAACAAATATTTCGGAAGACTTGAAGGATTCTGAATGGATTTTTACAAAATCCTCCTGAAACTCTTTAAATAAGGAAAAAATTGATGTACAACGCCTTAAATATGCGTGCTATACCCAGTTGAATTGTTGGTCTATCAATTAAGTACAAAAGAATTATTAGTGGACCCAACTTTTAAGTATAGTGCGGTATTTCACCGCGCTATACTCTGTTGAATTATTGGTGTGTCAGTTAATACCAGAAGAATTATTGGTGGGTCAGTTAATACCAGAAGAATTATCGGTGGGCCCAATAATTAAGTATAGCGCGATATTTCACCGCACTATACTTTAACGGACAAATGACCGTTAAGGTATAGCGCGGTGAATAACCGCGCTATACATATTATGGTGGCCAGTCCCCCCCTCCCCCACATATTTTGGTTCTTTGAGTCCAAAAGAATCACATTTTGATTCCGGACTCTTACTTAACAACCCGTTCTTATTTTCTTCATCCTAGAAAACCATCTTCTTTTTATTTCCCGAAATCCAAAAATATTAGGACCCACTTTCAAATAGTAATATAATTCTACAAGTTTCTAGAATTCAAATTTATTCAAATAAACACAATTAACTTTCAAATGGTGTTTTATGTTCTAAACTGATAGTTCAATTATTTGGTTATATTTAAACGGATCAAATTTATATACACAATAATTTAAATAATTTTTACATTAATCACTACAATTTAATCTATTAATAAATCTCATGCCTTATTTTCTATATGTTCTTAATATAAATTATTATATACTATATCTTTTAAGTGATTTGCTGGCATACAAATTTCTCATATATTATTATCGTATAAAAATCAAACTCTTAAAATTAAGGGGTATTATCACTTTTAGTCCATTCCAAAAATTATTTACAATTGATAGCCAAAAAAATGTATAAAACTTATATAATTTTTGTATATAATATATATAATATAAATTTGTTTATAATATACAAATTTTATATATTTTTTTGACTATTATTTTTATAACGGTTATATAATGTCATTTTCCTTAAAATTAACATATCAATGGGACTCTTTCCAAATTTGGTGGAGACTGAAGACTGCTGTCAATTCTTTGCCTCACTGGCGTAAGAAACCTCGAATTAGCTGTAAGCCAGTCCAACCATATCTAACCTATCAAAACATTCCATAACTCAATAGAATCCTAAAAGGAAAAAGAAATACTAGGAAAGTGACAAATTTTCGCACACCAAATGCTTGGCTAATGGACAGAGAGAAAGAGAAGAAATTGCTTAGAAAACGACAAGTTCTTGCACACCAAGTGATTGATTAATTGACAGAAAGAAAAGAGAAAAGGATGCTCTTTTGCTGGCACATTACGTGCACACAGCTCATTCCGCACGCATATCCATACAAATAAAAACTCTTTTTTTTCTCTATCCTTATATTGTATATATGTATGTATATATACTTGCCGTCAATTCACTTTCTACCCTTAGTTCTATCTTCAGTTATTCTCTTGTTGAAGAAAAGTTGAACTAAAGGACTAATGGATCCGTGTCCTTTTGTGAGAATAGTTATCGGAAACTTAGCCTTGAAGTTTCCGGCTGAACACAAACTGTCCTCAAGTACGGTTTTTGATTGTAAATTCAAGCTTAGAAGTTTTTCCACACAAATTTCAACTATCCCAGCGTTTATTCAAGATCCAATTCTGGAGAACAGAACTCACTCTTGTTTCAACTTGAACAAAACAGAACTTGACAAACTGGTCGAAAAATCAAGTATCAGAGGAAAAACTTGCAGTTTAAAGATTGAAATTTTTGCACGGAAAAAGGGGATTGGTTGTGGTTTATTGAAAGGTGGGAAGCTATTGGGGAGCGTATTGGTACCATTGGATTTAAAGGGGTTGGAAAGTAATGGTCGCAGAGGAGTTGTGATTCAGGATGAATGGGTTTTGGTTGGTAGATCTAGTACTGCAGCACAATTGCATTTGAACGTGAAAGCTGAACCTGACCCAAGATTTGTTTTCCAGTTTGATGGTGAACCTGAGTGTAGTCCTCAAGTTTATCAAGTCAATGGAAATGTTAAACAACCTGTTTTTACTTGCAAGTTCAGTTTCAGGAACAACGGTGACAGGAATTTGAGATCAAGGTTAGTTTATCTTCTACAATTGAAGTTGATTTTCTTATAATTAGTAAAGAAAACTGATCTTTCTTCACTAAACAAATTCATTCCCTATAGTCACATGGCAAACCTAGTGTAAACAATAAACATAGCTGGTGTAAAATTCATTACTTTTTGCCTCGAAATTTATATATTTGCGAGAAAAACTATATATATATATATATATATATGCGTACAACAACATACCCACTGTAATTCTACATAGTGGGATACATGACCTTACCCTTGATGTGTGGAGGTAGAGATGTTATTTCTAATAGACTTATAATCATGCATACAACCACAATAAATCCAATAAAATACCACGTGTGCGGTATGAGGAAAGTAGTGTGTACACACTCCTTACCCCATGTCTGGACAAAGTAGGGCTATATACATGTATAACGAATTGAATTCATTGATTCTAAATCCTAACATAATCCTACCTGTTGGTGATTATCCAGCTAATTAACACATTAGTTTTAGTCTATGTTGATTCATATTTTTCTTGAACTCTGCATCTAAATCTTGGTTATTTGTACAGATCTTCACTATCAGAACCAAGCACATCAACAAGCTGCTTTAATTCTTGCACCGCTGATAAAGAGTTGTCATCCCTAACAGAGCGAAAGGGATGGTCAATCACAATCCATGACCTCTCTGGTTCACCAATTGCAGCAGCATCAATGGTTACCCCATTTGTCCCATCACAAGGTTCAAATAATGTCAGCAGATCAAACCCCGGGGCGTGGCTCATCCTTCGCCCAGGCAACGGTACATGGAAGCCGTGGGGCCGCTTAGAAGCATGGCGAGAGCACGGTGGTGACCTCGGTTATCGCTTTGAAATCATCCCTGATGGTGCTACTGATGCCATTACTTTGTCCAATTCAACTATCAGCACCAAGAATGGTGGGAAATTTAGTGTAGACATCACCAATGGTGCTACCCCATTGACTAGTCCAAACAGCAGTTTTGACTTATGCTCAGGTTCTGGATCCGGGTCGGATTTTGGGTCAGCACCTGGATCCGGGTCGTGGGCACAGCTCTTGTACCGTGGATTTGTGATGTCGTCCACGGTGGAGGGTGACGGGAAATGCAGCAAGCCGGAGGTGGTTGTCGGGGTGCAGCATGTGAACTGCGCGGAGGATGCTGCAGCTTTCGTGGCATTGGCAGCTGCCATGGATCTTAGTATGGATGCTTGTCAGTCTTTTACTAAGAAGCTCCGGAAAGAGTTGAGGCAGTCGGATCAAGAATGAAGGCTAAACGGGTCAGGTTACCATCTGGATATGGGTCACGGGATCTGGGCTTTATTGAAATTTTGCCAACTGCCAGCAGTTTTTAGCTGGTTTATGTTTTTCCTACGTTTTCCCTTCTACAATAGAGTGTACAGTGGTTATCAATCTGTCTTGTTTTTTTTTTAAAACCTTTGCCTCGTTTGGAAGTATTTATTTATTAGTTGATTCTTGTAAACAAAATTAATTTTTGACATAGTGATGTAGTTATGGTTAAGGAATGAAATTTTGAGATCAGGAATCCAATGTTGGTTGATTTTTGTTGCTTCTTGGTAAAATTCCAAAGTCAATTGGTTTCTGAGTTGGCATACATTAGAATCAGGTGGCATGCATTAAGCGATAATATATAGGCTTAGGTGTTAGATGTTTTGTGGACGACAATAATAATAAGGACAACACAATGTTATTATTATTATATTCGTGATAATGATGATGAAAAAGAAGATAAGGAGGAGGAAGTCGCTATATAGGCTTAGGTGTTGGATGAGGGATAGGTAGATCGAAATCTGGAGTACATTAGCTAAGTTAAATGAATATTCAAACTGTATGACACGTACGTGAAGAATTCATAGTAGAAGTCAAACTTGATGGATAATAAACCACAAATTGTTGGACAGAGATAAGCAGTCGACGCAATAAAATAAGTGAAAGAGAAATGGACGCACAAGTGCTCAAGTGCACAAAATATTGTATTCTATGCAAGGTGCAGTCATACACAAGGAAAATGTGAATTGAGCTCAACAACGTAACTCCTACCCCTCTGATTGTATAGTTTCACTCTCCTTCGGCATCTTTGGTGTTGCTTCCTTCAGAATTTTGTGTCCCAGAAACGTTTCCAGTTTGTGTGGATATGTTTTCCAGAGAACTTTTATCCTGGATCCGTCTCTGCATCTGTCGATTATAAGTTGTAGGACTGGGCATATATCGGGTAAAATCGATGGCCCGAACCGAAAAAAACTTATTGGGTTATCAGTATCGGGTTATTGAGTTAATGATTCGGTAACATTTTAGTGTTTACAATGGGGTTATCGGTTCGGGTCTCGATTTGTCAAATTTTATAACGGATTAACCGATAACCCAATAAAATTTGATAAATTATGATTTTACCCTCAAGTATATAAATACTTATAGGGCTTCAACCTTCAGTTCATTCCCGTTTTCTCTGAACTTTTCTCAGCCGCAAGTCTTCACTCTTCATTCCATCAATGGTAACAGTGAAATGTACTCTTGAAATTTAATTTTGAGCTTCTTGATTGATTTGAGGTAGGATATAACCTCTTAACATTCACTATTCTTCCTTTACTCACTTGTAGAAGCGAAGCCAGAAATATTTTTAAGGGTGTTAAGACTTGAAAGAACTAAAATAAAATTCTCAACAAAGGGCGTTCAATATATAATTTATACTTCAAAAATCAATATTTTACTTATATACACAGTGTAATTTATCATAATATTTCGGTGAAGGGATTGACCACCATTTGTAAAAGGTGTTCAGACTCCAGTGAATTGTTCTTTTCTTTTTTGCTTAAACGCAGGTCAACTTTATGTAAAACTGTTCCTTGATACTTCCATTTCTTTGTTTGTAATATGAAAAATTGAGGGAACTTATAAATGTTATCCTGTGGTCAAGTAAGCAACTTGCAATGGGTAAAACAAAAGTATGCATATTACAAGAAAATCAGAATGGCGAAATGGCTATGCTTGGAATCTCATTATGCAAACTTCAGTGATTGAAGTTCAGTCCATGTTAATTATACACTATGCTTCTTGTAATCTTATCGGGAAACCGATAACGTCGATAACCGATAGCTTATCGGTTCGATTATCGGTATAATATATTTATAAACTGATAATCGATATGCTAAATCGATAATATTCACAACCGAACCGAATCGATCGATGCCCACCCTAATAAGTTGAATGCATCTGGCTATAGACATTTTGGCTCCAAAATGGTGAAATTTTCCTAAACTACTACTTAAGAAAAGAAACTCCTTTTTGTAAATTTCTTTAATGTCACTACCAATTTTCATTTTGATAAATTATGGAAACAGAACGTTTAGCTTCACAGAATATTGAAAGCTATAAATTAGAAAATAATGACAACTGTTAAAAACAAAGTCGTTGTAGTATATTGGTAAGTATTTCCACCTGTCACCCGGGCCACCCCGATTCGATCACCGTCAACGGCGTGTCTTATTTTTTTCAACTATTTTTACTGTTTTATTCATCAAATGACGCAAATCTTTTGCACCCAATACCCAAAAGAGAGGCTTCAAACTAGGAGGAAAAACCAAAATTGGATAGCAACTAGGATTGAAAATAATCCAATTGTTTTAGTTTCAGTAGGGAAAACGCTTTCATTCCGTCTTTTTTTTTTTATTTTTATATATTCCGTCATTATAAATTTAATTCTATCTCTATGTATATGCTTCAATAACAACCAAATGGAAGAGACAGATTATGGATAGACTAATGAAGAATAATACAACTAGAGAAGAGGAGAAGACGATCTGTAGCAACAAATTTGGGAGGTCATGTAGTAAACGTTAATTAAAAACTCCTAATGTTCAGGGGCGGCTCAAGCGCATTTGAGGCCTAAGGCCAAAGTCAAATGTGAGGCCTAAGTATTTAAATTTTTTAAAAAAACTTAAATGATATGTATGGAGTAAAATTAATAAAATACCAAATACCAAATAAAAACAATACTAGAAAGATATTACCCGATTACTGATTCAGGAAGTTTGAAGAATGAAGACTTTGAGTCCAAAATATCTAGTTGTTGCTTGTCTACTTCAAAACTAAATCTTGAAAACTATACTATATTTTTTATAAAGTAATAGAAGTATAGAAGTATTGGAATCTTAAAAATATTATTGAACACTTGAACTAATAAATTTTTGGAGAAAGAAGGTGAAAAATAAAATTTTAGAGAAAGAAAAAAATATTGGAGAAAGAATTCAAGAAGGTGAGCAGGAATAAAGAGTAAGGAAGAAGATATGTAGGTTCTCGAATATGAAGAGTAAGATTGAAACATTGGAAAAGAAGGAGTAAAAAATGGAATTGTTAAATCAACTCAAATTGAAAATTATTCATCTATCATTTTTAAGTAAGTCAAATTTTTACTTTATTTACTCTAAAAGGTTTTCTTTCCATGAAAAAAACAAACATACTACTATATATATATATTTTTAAATATCTATAAAATATATAGTATTTCTGAAAAAATAGGACCCCTCTAAATTGGGTGCCTAAGGCACATGCCTTACCCACCATACTGTTAGACTGCACTGTGCTAAACAATCATACCCGTGAGATTTTTCAGGATTTGTTGTTATTATTGTATTAACAGACAATGTAAATTAAAGATCTTCTAGTGACATGATTAATGTAATCTAATATATTATAGTAGGTTTAGTATAATAGGTTAGTTACAATTTTGTTTTCCAGATTACTGATTGATAATTCGCCATACATAATTACATATAATTATCTTATAAATGACCTAGTTAATTGCGTAAATATTTTTATACCGTCGGTTTTAAAACTGGCGGTTCAGTTATTAAAAACTAGCTACTCCACTTTCAATATCTTCTAACCACGTTAAGTTGGTAATTTTCATGTTTTTGGCCCTCTAGTAGATTATATGAAGTGTGTAAACTGGTTCCTTTTGTTTGAAAATACATGTCGTTAATTATAAGATCTTGCACATAATATCGCAAGTAGCTAGATCATCAACACATGATTCGTAAGAGTACTAAAGAGTTCATAATAATATCAGATCATACATCAAGCTGAATTCATATATCCTCCCCCCCTTAATTAAGACCACTTGGACTTTTTACAGATCCAGTTCTTCAGAGGATTACAAATATTATATACTTTTAACTATAAGTTGCTTTTTAGTGCAATTATTTAAGTTGTTTATATATATCAAGCAGAAGTCCATACATATATAACGTGAAATGGACATTCATTTCAATTAGTATGGACTTTGGCCTATGACATTACCTGGAGGATCATAGTTGCAAGAGACAACATATCCTCCATTGTTACACTGAACCCTAGCACATCCAACACGAACCGAGTTACGCCAAACCACCTGAGTATAGTGTCCACACACCTGTCCTTGTGCACAAGTATTTGAGTCATGGTCATAGTACTGTTTCTCATCGACCCACATCTCGACGGCCTTAGCAGCCGTCATAAAATCGCCACTTCCCTGAGCTAGGTTTTCGCCGTATTGGCCATGAGAATGTACGAGGTTGCAGTCTGCAGCCAATTGAGAAACATAATTTTGTGCATAGGCTGCTACCCCGTTGTCCCAAGTTAATGGTTCCACGCCTACATCTGCACGAGCTGTGTTATGGGCATCCAAATAGTCTTGTTGAGAGTTTTGGGCATGAGAAGAGTGAGATATTATTAGGAATAAGAGAAGTGTAGAGACAAGAAAAAATGAGGGCATTTGTGAAAAGAGAAAAAATCCCATGACTATAGGAGAAATGTTTTATTTTGAATGGAAAAACTAGATTTACTACCACAGGTATTTATAGGAGAAATCTTGAAGATTTCACGGCGATCATTCATGCACTTACTAAAAATTTTTGACATGGTAATATCAATGTAATATATCTTGTTATAGATAGTTATTTATCCTATTTTCTAGGTTATCATATTTTAAACTTATATAAGCAGTTACCAATTATTGTAAAATATTTTACCTGATGTTGCAAAATAATTTTAAATTGTCCATGCATGAAGTTAAACACTTTTTTGATCTAGTAGATGTGTTTTTTGTTAAATAAAATAGACTGGTTATGGTTACTTGGTTATGGTTACTGTGTTAATTCTTCTAATATTTTCTACATTTAACGATCTGATTAATTTTTGCTTCGATATTTATATCTCTTTTGTTTCAGAATGGGAATGTCCATTGGAAAAAGAATTTAAAATAAATACTTTTTGGTGTTTCTTTTTTCTAATAATCTTATTTCTAAATCTTATATTATATTTCTTATAATAATTTGTACAATCAATTCTCTAAAAGAAAAAAATTATAATAAAACCAAACACAGTGTGTGTGTCTTCTTCTTTCTTTTCTCAATATTTGTGGAAAACTTGAACATGGGCAGTCATCTCGATGACGTTAAATAACTTTCAAATTTGGAGGCAAAGCATATTTGGATATTCTTCAGTTCTTTCTCTAATTTCCTTCCCTACACGTTACTCATGTACTATCACACTTTTCTATTATCTCATTCCAATCACAACTTGACTTTAGATTCAAATGGCAATTTTTTTTTTTTGTGTGTGTAAATAGCTTATGTTTATTTCGTTTCTCGACATTAGTGGAAAAGAAAGCTCAAGTTTTAGGGAAAAAGCTAGAGTTTGAAATCCTCTAGGGTGTTTTAAGATTTAACTACTTTATTTTTCCCAGAAATAACACCCTAAAGCATCTCGCTGTAATGGCATTCACTTATTTTCCCTATAATTTTAATGGATAAATGACAACCAAACTCCTTAAAAAGACTTCGGCCAATGCTTTAGGTGGTGAAGTATAGACCCAAGAGAAGACTTACAAGAGAGACCAGTGTTTTTGTTATGCAAAAAGAGTAATTTGATTCAGTTATATACACTGATAATGCGGAAGAATTTTGTAACTATTGCCATTTAGCAATTTACCATAAAAGTTACATATAATTGTAAGTCAAACTTATCGTGAAATGAAAAAATTTATACACTATTAGATGAAAAAAAAATGAAAACTTAAACTCTACACTATGATAATTGACATCCTCATATACCTTAGTCCTTAAAAAAGGTTTATGTGCTACGATCCCTAGGTAAAGGTTTGCGCCATCAGGGTCACAAATTGTGCCTCACGACTTGACTATAAGATCAAAAATCTAAAAAAGTAAGTTATCTTAATTAATTTATTATATTGATAATAGAGCTTAAAATTCAAATGTTCTTGAGGTTTCACTTTTCTTTTTGCAATACATTCCTCATTGAGTAACTTTATAGAATTAAAAAAATGATACAGTGAGAAATCATAGTAGCAAATCTGATTGCCAATGCATGAAGTTAAACACTTTTTTGATCTAGTAGATGTGTTTTTTGTTAAATAATTAAAATAGTCTGGTTATGGTTACTATGTTAATTCTTGTAACGACCCGACTTGTCGTTTTGAACATTTACGCTCATTTCAACTATTTGAAGTCTTGAATAGCTTCATATGATATATTATGATGTGTGTGAATCGTCGGTTTTGATGTTTCAGGTGTTTCGGGATTAGTTCGGAAGAATAAATTTCATGTTGGAAACTTAAATGAAAAGAGTTGACCGGAATTTTGACTTTTGTGCAAACGACTCCGGAATAGAGTTTTGATGATTTCAATAGCTCCGTACGGTGATTTTGGACTTAGGAGTATGTCCGAAAAATTATTTGGAAGTTCGTAGTTAAATTAGGCTTGAAATGGCGAAAGTAGGAAATTTAAGTTTGGAAGTTTGATCGGGGAGTTGACTTTTTAATATCGGGGTTAGAATCCAGTTCTGAAAATTTTTATAGGTTCGTTATGTCATTTATGATTGTGTGCAAAATTTGAGGTCAATCAGACTTGATTCGATAGGTTTCGATATCGAATGTAGAAGTTGAAATTTGTTGGTTTCTATTAGGATTGAATTGGGGTGCGATTCGTGATTTTAGCGTTATTTTATGTGATTTGAGGCCTAAACTAAGGTCGTATAATATTTTAGGACTTGTTGGTATATTTGGTTGGGGTCCCGGGGGCCTCGGGTGTGTTTCAGGTGTTATCGGGTGATTTTGGGCTACTTTGGATGCAGGTTTTCTGATATCTGATTTTGTTCTTCGCGTTTGCGACTCTCGCGTTCGAGAAGAAGGATTTGGCTTTTGGGATTTTGTTCTTCGCGTTCGCGAAGAAAGAAATTCCTGTTGTCCGTCGTCCGACTTTGGAAGCTTATATCTCGCAATCTATAAGGAATTGGAAGATGATCAAAACATGAAAGTTGTATCCCTTGATGTTTAGTTTTCAGAAAGTCAAACCATTTGTCATATGGACTTTTGTACAAAAAGTTATGTCCATTATACTAGAGGCTGTCTAGGAAGAGTTTGAAAATGGCCGTTGAGGAATATGTTCATCGTGAATGCGAGATGATGGTCACGAACGCGAAGAACATACCCCTAGGCAGCAGATTTAAGTTCTGAAAATAGGACTCCATTCCATTTTCTATTTTTAACGATTTAGAGCTCAGGGAGAGGCGATGTTTAGGAGATTTTCAAGAAAAATAATGGGATAAGTGTTCTTAACTCAATTTTGGTCAAATTACCCGAATCTATTGCTATTTTTAGCATTTAATTGATGTTTAAGTTGAAAAAATTGTGAAAACCCTTAAGGTTAAATTGAAAATTTGAGGGTCGAGTTGATGTCAGAATTTGATAAATTTGGTATGGTTGGACTCGTGGTTGAATGAGCGTTCATATTTTATAACTTTTGTCGGGTTCTGAGACGTGAGCCCCACTGGCGATGTTTTAGTGTAATTTTAGATTTTGTTGGAAAATAAGTATTTTCATATGGAATTAATTCCTATAAATTGTGTTGACTGTATCGAATTAATTGTGACTAGATTCGAGGCGTTCGGAGGCCGATTTGCAAGGCAAAAGCATATTGGAATAAAGAATTACACGGTTTGAGGTAAATAACACTTCTAAACTTGGTTTTGAGGGTATAAATCCCTGAATTACATATTATGTGAATTGTATGGAGGTGACGCACATGCTAGGTGACGGGCGTGCACCATAGAAATTGTGACTTAATTGATTCCGTGGAGTTGCACAATCAAATAATCATGTCATTATCCATATATCATCCACGTGTTAGAGGAAATTGAGTTGAGACTCATGTTAAAGATCATGTTTAGGCTACATGCCGATATTTTGGGATCCACAGAGGTCTGATTGCTATTGAATTACTTGTTTTAATTGTAATTTTGTACTCAGTCACATCTATCATTTGCATATCATATCTCAGTCTCTATTGTCATTCATTGATACATCATATCATCATGTCAGATTGATTTTCATGTCATTGAGAGCCCGAGAGACTAGAGATTTTGAGTGATATTTATGGGATCGGGCTGCACGCCGCAACATATTTTATTTATTTATGCTTGGATCTGGATATTATAGCGCTTGGGATGAAGGAGACCCTCCGGAGTCTGCACCCCCCACAGTGAGCGCGGTTGACTTTATATTGAGGGATGGATCTTCCCCCGGGCATGGATCTTGCTCGAATAATTTATATTGACGGATGGATCTTCCCTGGGCATGGATCTTTGCCCGAATCATTTATATTGAGGGATAGATCTTCCCTGGACATGGATCTTGTCCGAATCGTTTATATTTGGGGATGGATCTTCCCTGGACATGGATCTTGTCCGAATCATTTATATTTGGGGATGAATCTTCCCCTGGGTTGAATTGGTCATATACAGTACTGAGTGATTGAGTATTTTGAGAGTGTGAGTACACGAGGTTTCCATTATGGTACATCACGTACAACATATATTTTGGCATGTAGATATAGAGATGTCATATTCTCCATATCATGCTGAATTTATCTATTTTACCTGTACTTAGTTTAACTGTTGAACTTGAAAGCATGCCTACATTTTTGTACTGTTATTTTTATACTGGAATGTACCTGTTGAGCTCGTCACCACTTTAATCCCAAAGGTTAGTCTTGTTACTTATTGAGTACATGGGGTCGGTTGTACTCATACTACACTTCTGCACATTGTGTGCAGATTTCTGATGCTGATGTAGCTGCGTACGACTAGGGCTGGATCTGAATATGTACCTGCGTTCCAGTCATTGCTGCCTCTTGTTCATGGTAACTTTAGAATTTTTAATCTGTTCATATATACTTCAGACAGATGATGTATTTTTATTTCACACCAGCTTTGTAAATTCTAATTTTAGAAGCTCATGATTTGTACTACAAGTCCTTGGGAGTGTATTAAAGTCAGTTAAATATTAATTGAATCGGATTGTTGTTATTTGGCTTACCTAGCGGGGTGAGGTTAGGTGCTATCACGGCTAGTTGGATTTTGGGTCGTGACAAGTTGGTATGAGAGCTCTAGGTTCATATGTTCTACAAGTCATGAGCAAGTGTCTAGTAGAGTCTTGCAGATCGGTATGATGACGTCCATACGTATCTTCGAGAGGCTACATGGCATTTAGGATAATTTTCCATCTTTCTTTCCTTATCGTGCGAAATTGATTCAGCTTGAAACATAACTCTTTGAATTCCCTCCATGCATTCGTATGTGCATGCAAGCGCTCGGTATCAGCCGTGCATCGACGGCTTGTGATTCCAGGGATGAGGAGCGAGATGTGATTTCTGTGTTTTGGTGATGCGCCAATCTGGAGGACTTGAGGCCAGGTTTAGACCGTAGCTTAGGCTCTGTAGCTACAATTGTGTGAACTTGTACATTTGGACTCATATAT